ATTATAACTATATGATTAAAAAGTTTAGTAAAATCAAATTATTGTATACAGATACGGATAGTTTAATATATCATATATTTACAAATGATTTTTACACTGATATAAAACCTGACCTTTCATCATACTTTGATACCTCAGATTATGATACAAATAATATTTTTGAATATCCAAAATTAAATAAAAAGAAATTAGGTTTTTTTAAAGATGAAAATAATGGTAAAATCATGAAAGAATTTGTGGGTTTACGATCCAAAATGTACGCTTTTAACTTAGAGAATAAGACTATAGCCAAGGCAAAAGGGGTAAATAAATGTATCACTAAAAAGATGACAATGAATAGTTATAAGTCTTCTCTATTTAATAAAAAAGTGCAATATTATAGTATGCTTAGATTTAAATCAATTAAACACACAATTTTCACACAAAAATTAAATAAGATAGGTTTATCATATAATGACACAAAGAGACATATTTTAGATAATAATATTGAAACATTAGCTTGGGGTCATTATAAACTGCGTTAAGTGTTGATAGTTTTTACTTTTATGTCTGCGTTTAAGAAAAATTTATATTGATTGTAAAATTATGATAATTCTATAATATGACGTAGTTTATTACATATTTAAACATTGTTTTATTGTAAATAATTTAAGTTAATTGTTGTTTCTATTTATTTGAGGTTGAGTTAATTGTAAAATTATGATGTACTAATTGTTGTTTCTATTTATTTGAGGTTGAGTTAATTGTAAAATTATGATGTACTAATTGTTGTTTCTATTTATTTGAGGTTGAGTTAATTGTAAAATTATGATGTACTAATTGTGTTAGAAATAGTATACAGATAATTCTGTTTTATATAATTTTTGGAATATATATTAATTGTTTACACCAACACTTTCATTTTTTATTTCACCCCTTTGAACTTTAGACGTGTGTTATGTTTCACTTTATCCATCCGTTCACTGCTATTGTGGCAGGACCAAGTGGGTGTGGGAAGTCAAATTTTGTAACAAATTTCATAAAATCAGTTACAGAAATATGTAATTGTGATTTTAATCAGATCACATGGTGCTTTGATGAAATGCAACCATTATATAATTTACCAAATGTTAACTATCATCAAGGAATTCCAAATCTTAATATGTTTGATGGTGAATACCCACATCTTGTTATTATTGATGATCTAATGAGAGAGTCCGATGGAAGAATTGTGGATATATTTACAAAAGGTAGTCATCACAGGAATCTTAGTGTATTTTATCTAACACAAAATTTATTTCATCAGGGTAAAGGACAAAGAGACATATCTTTAAACTCAAGTTATATAATATATTTTAAAAACCCTCGAGATAAAACTCAAATAAGATATTTAGCAAGACAAGTATCACCAGATAACCCAAAATTCATTGAAAATGCCTACAGGGATGCAACTCTAGAGGCACATGGATATTTAATGGTAGATTTAAAACAGAATACCAATGATTTTTGTCGTATCAAGACAAATGTCTTTCCATTTAATGGTTTCTGTACAGTCTACGTCCCCACAAAAGAGTTTAAATACACCAAGAATCAAACAATTGAAATCATTGCTAAATGATGCATCGTCGACTCACAACGTATAAACATTTGCTAACCACTTTGCATACGCTTAAACCAAAATATCAAAGAGCATTACTTAAAACGTGTGATGAAGAAGAAATTAACTGTATTTGTGAGTGTATTCATAACGTTTTACAAGGAAAAGTACCTCTTAAAGATCAGGATAAACAAAAATTGAATAAACATAAAAACATACTCCGTAAACTAGTACGTAAGTGTAAACATAAACTAAGAAAAAATATAATTATACAAAAAGGAGGGGCTTTCTTACCAACAATATTAGGTGCAATATTGAGTGGATTAGTGAGTGGACTAGCCAGTTAACATGGAAAATGCAAAGAAAATGATACTTATCGAACCTGGATTGATTGAAAAATTAAAACAAGAAAATAAGGTTAATAGTAATTTATCTCGATTAGATATTGAAATGCAAAATATTATGAATAGTAAGACAGAAGACCGAAAGAAATGGATATTATATTTACAAACACTGCAAAGATACCTTCATTTTACCGAAGAGGATCGTCAACCACTCAAATTACCAATTTATTCTGATACATCTAATGAAGATTCAAATGAGTCAAAAATTGGTTTTAAAAATAAAGATAGAGATCTAAAAACTTCAGTTGATATTGAATCTTTGCTGGAGGAGAATCGATCCATTAAAAGTAAAGAAAATGATGAAAATCCACTTTACACACCAGCTCAAATACTCAGTTTAATACCAAAAACTTATCATAAAAAAGGGCAGTTATTATTAAACTTAGTTGAAACAAGTAAAAGTAAAATACATTGGGATAACGAAGGTAGAGTCATAATTGATAGTGAAAAAATTCCTGGAAGTAATATTGTTGATTTAATAAATGATTCACTAAGACCCCTAAAAAGAAGTGATCCGGTAGGGTGGGTTAGATTTGCTGAAGCATTAAAAGATATTAAAGTACCACTTACTTATATTGGAAATCCAAGGAGATGTGAGTTTATTAACCAACTTCAAGCAAAAGATCTGAACAAACCCTCTGAGATTGAAGTTCAAGAGTTTTCTACACCGTGCAGTAGAGATAAAAAGTCTACAACTAAAATACGTAAAGGACTTGAGTGGGAAAAATGGACTCCGTACTAGAAGAAATTAACAGGATTTATTATGATCCATCTAATCCCGCTGGTTTTGGTAGTATTGATAAATTATCAAAAGCCATGAAGGGTAAAATGAATAAAAAGCAAGTAAAGGAATGGTTAAAATCACAAGAAACATACACATTACATAAACCCATTCGAAAAAAATTCCCGCGTAATAGGTACATTCTATCAAATATTAATGAACTGTGGCAAGCTGATTTAAGTGATATGCGAACTTATTCTCAATATAATGATGGTTTCAAGTATATACTTTGTATTATTGATGTATTTAGTAAATATGCTTTTGCAAGACCAATGAAAAAGAAAAACTCAGAAACAACTAAAGAATGTTTTGAAAGTATATTTACTGAAAGTAATTTAACACCTACTCACATACAATCCGATAAAGGTACCGAATTTGTTTCAAAAGATGTACAAAAATACTTTAAATCCAAAAAGATTAATTACTATACCACTAACAATCCTGACATTAAGGCCAGTATTGTTGAACGATTTCAAAGAACACTAAAAATGAAAATGTGGCGTTATTTCACTCATAATAATACTTATAGATATATAGATGTTTTACAAGATTTAATATACTCTTATAATCACAGCTTTCACTCTAGTATTAAGATGTGCCCATGTGATGTAAATTCCAACAATATTATGACAGTTTGGACTAATCTTTATGACAGACGGTCAAAAAAACTTTCTTTAGAAAATCCTAAACCAAATTTCAATGTGGGTGATTATGTTCGAATAACTAAATATAAACATGTATTCCAAAAAGGATATGAATCAAATTGGAGTGATGAAATATTTATTATATCTTCAATAATTGATAGATCTCCATGGGTTGTTTATACAATAACAGATTTACAAAATGAACCAATAATTGGTACTTTTTATGAAAGAGAATTACAGAAAATCACTTACAACCCCACCTCACAACATAAAATAGATAAAATAATTAACACTCGTTATTCAAGTAACAGAAAAGAAGTATTAGTGAAGTGGAAAGGTTATCCAGATAAATTTAACAGTTGGATTTTAGCTTCTAGTTTAAAAGAAATATGAATAAAGAAAGTTTCTATTTAACTTTGCTCAGCAATAGTTCAATGGAATACTTTCCTGATAACAAGACCACAAATTTTTCAACGAAATTACCAAAAGCTATAAAATTAGAAGGTGAATGGTCGGTTGGAGTTGTCGAGTTTCAATATCCATGTACCATGTTTACTGTTCAAGACCATGAAAATGTTATATACATTACAAAATCTATGTTAATGCCTAATGAAGATAAGCCATCCACAGTGTACTACAAAAAACATATTCCAGCTACCAACTATGATAACGTTGAGCATATTTTAAGAGTGTTAAATGGTATCGGAGAGAACTTGAAATTTCGCTATGATGAAATAACAAAATTTGTGTCCATTTCGGTATTGGATAAAAATATAACATCCGTAACATTATCACCCAAATTAAGTTTACAGCTAGGTTATGAACCAAATAAAAATCTCCTAGAGAGAAATTTTGGAAAGTGTCCTGCTAATTTACACTTAGGGTTACCATCTCAACTATTTCTATATTGCAATATTATCGATCCTCAGATTGTGGGTGATGTTATGACTCCTTTATTAAGAGTCATTTCATTAGATCCTACAAAATACATTTATGGTGCAAATAAAATGCACGTTTTCTCTCAACCTCACTACTTACCTGTTATGCGAAGAGAGTTCGATACGTTGGAAATAGTTATAAGATCGAGTACAGGACAAAAAATACCATTCCAGTTTGGAACCGTGTGTATTAAACTACATTTCCGAAAATTATAATAATGAATTCTCTTCGTGATCATCATAAATGTCCATATGAAAATTATTATACACATCAAGCTGGATCAGGAGTTGGAGTAATTTATAAGGGTTCACCATATCAACGCGGTCATGGTATTGGGAGCTTCTTAGGGGGGTTATTCAGATCAGTTTTACCTTTACTTTCAAGTGGTGCTCGAGTGATTGGTAAGGAGGCATTAAGCGCTGGAGTAGGACTTTTATCGGATATGGTTGAAGCCCGTCCTATGGAAGCCTCAATAAAAGATCGTCTAAAGCAAGTTAGTACGAATTTAAAACGAAAGGCTGATGAGAAAATTGATCAATTTAACATGACTGGATCTGGGTATAAAACTAAAAGAAAACGATTGACATCGTTCATTCCACCATTAACTGCTAAAGTGAAAGCTGCGAAAAAACTATAGATATATTTTCAAACTAAATATGTCTTTCCTTCATAATCATTCTTGCGAGTGCGTTAAGTCAGAATTGGATTTGTTTGCACTACCGTCTACACAAACTAGCATTGAAAATGGATTGTGGATTCATTATAAACCAACTTCATCTCTTGGTGATGATGGACCTATCGAGTTTCAAGTTCCTGGGACCGGCGATGACTACATAGATTTGTCTCATACATTACTCCACATAAAGGCAAAAGTATTAAATCAAGATTCAACTAACTTGGTATCTACTACAATAGTAGCACCTGTAAATAATTGGCTGCATTCACTTTTTAGTCAACTTGATGTTTATTTAAACCAAAAACTTGTATCACCACCTAATAATACCTATGCATATCGAGCATACATGGAAACCCTTTTAAACTATGCCCCTGCTGCTAAACAATCTCATCTTACTTGTAGTCTTTGGTATGAGGATACAGCAGGAAAAATGGATTCTTCAGATGGTAAAAACATAGGATTTGTTAAAAGACAGGAATTGATTAGTGAAAGTAAGGAAATAGAAATGATTGGTCATCTTCACGGTGACATTTTTAACCAAGATAAATTTTTAATTAATGGTGTTGAAATGAGTGTTAAATTGGTTCGATCAAGAGAGAGTTTTAATTTAATTGTTGGGTCGAACGATGTAAAGTTTAAAGTTTGCATTACGGACGCAACTCTTATTGTGCGACGAGCACGAATTAATCCAAGTGTATTACTCGCACATCAAAAAGTTTTAGCTTCTACCACTGCTAAATATCCTATTACTCGAGCTGAAGTAAAAGTTTTAACAATTCCTTCAGGTGTTCAAGGAAAAACTCTTGATAATATATTTTTAGAACAGGTACCGAAAAGATGTATAATTGGATTTGTGAACAATTCTGCATTTAATGGTTCCCTTACTAAAAATCCATTTAACTTTGAAAACTATGGTATTAATTCTTTCAGCTTATATATTGATGGTCAACAAATACCTTCAAAAGCTTTGCAACCATCTTTTAATAATAGCATATTTACATCAGCATATCATACTCTATTCTCGGGAACTGGTATTCACTTTCTTAATGAAGGAAATGGAATCTCTTGTGAACAGTATGGCAAAGGTTACTGTCTATTAGCATTTGACTTAACTCCTGATTTATCAGCTAACTCATCAACTCATTGGAATCTCATAAAGCATGGTAGTGTAAGAATAGAAGTACGATTTGAATCCTCATTAATACAAACAATTAACTGTATAGTTTATGCTGAGTTTGATAATATTATTGAGATAGATAAAAACAGAAATGTTACTGTAGACTATAGTAGTTAAGGTTATAATATGTGTTGTGTGTTAGATTTTATGTGTTATGTGTAATGCATTTTGTGTGTATGTAACTATGTGAAACGTTATAAAATTAAATAAAACAAATTGTATGCAATATATTTTTTTTATTTCTTTATAAATCTTCTATTTAATCTAATACAAAACACTGTTCGAGTTGAAATTTTACATAAGCACACTGACTAAACCACTGAACATGCTGCTGCCAAGGATCATCATCATCTTCCCAATCTTTTAAACCACCACCACAATGGAAACACTTGGTCCCGTCTGCATGGCCAGTATAAAAGAAACCAGCTTCGGCAAGATCTTCAGGTTTCTGTCGCATAACTAGAGGCCAGTTTTCGAAACTAAGCAAACGGTTAGATTTTGAACTGAAGAATGGATATTCAGCTCTTGAGTACTGCATACTCTTCTCGTTTTCTTCTCCACTCAGTGTTGTAGTTTTGTTATTCAATGATGTGTTTTGTACACGTATGCCACACTCATCTCTTCCTTCCGCTCTTGTCTTCCTGTAATTGAAGTAAACAGAATCACATTCACTAATGATCAGCTAATGACTGTCATTGTTAAAAAAGTATTTTTTAACTTTTTCACTTTCTGCTATTGTCTTTGTTATATTGTATACGAGGGCGTTTGTATTGTCGTAGATGCTATCCTTATTAGTCTTTACGTAATATTTAATTCTCGTGGAAGCATGTTTCCAATGATCAGTAGTTGGAATCTTGGATAGCTTCTTCATATCGTACATTTCAATTTTGATGAGATGCGTCGCTTGGTCTCCGTCGTCAGAATTAGTAGAAATGTATGATACACCATCTCTAGCGGCTCGTGCTACGGTTGATGATAACAGCTTCCTCTTTTTTATTTTTGATTCAGCTTCAAAAAAATGATCAATCGATTGCGATTTTCTTTTTCCACCATCGCATGTGTTATTATTAATGACGAGGTTATCACTCTCTTCTTGAGGGGAGAGTGGCGTTAGTAATACTGTTTATAGGTATCTTCATCGAAGCTCAATGATTTCTGCAACAACACAGTTATCATGTTAATATCAATTTGTTAACACTTAATCATAAAAGTTAAAAAAGTTAAAGTTACAGCCTATTAAAGTCCACTGCTGAACATAGGCCTCCTCTCATTTCTGAGAGGGTTTTAGAGCAAGGAAATGTCCGCCGCGCTCCCTCAATGTGTGTTGGCGAACTTCACATGCCTTCGAAATTTTCTCAGACATGCAGGTTTCCTCACGATGTTTTCCTTCACCACCAAGCACGTGGTAATAAGCACTTAAAATTGCTATTAACAATTTAATTGGTGCTGGCGGGGATCGAACCCGGGTCGCGTACTGTGAAATTTACAGCTAGCGCTAACCATCTGAGTTACCACGGCTTAATCATATACATACACAATATTTAAATAAAATAATACACACACATGAAAATAACAGAAAAAAAGTAATTTAGTCAATAGAATAAACACTTACATCCATAGCCTTTGGTGTATTGAAGTAACACAAATGTACTATTGATAGATCCACTGTAGCCAAACGACCGTACACTAAGTCGATGACTGCATTTGTTGGTCTTATATACCACCAGTACGTAAAAATTCTAATCTAATGTATTTCCGTAATGAGTTGATAATTACTTTATGCGTCAACCAGTTTATCTCACATTTCCGTTGCCTATCTCAACATTTCTTCGTATTGTGTTTTGTTTGGTGATCAATGACTCAAGTACGATTTGTATAACACAAAAATGCAATTTAATATTTAGAAACATATCAGTTTATCTCACATTTCCGTTGCCTATCTCAACATTTCTTCGTATTGTGTTTTGTTTGGTGATCAATGACTCAAGTACGATTTGTATATCACAAAAATGCAATTTAATATGTAGAAATCACTATAATTGACCATTCCTATGTTATTCATTGAGTAGCTAGGTACTGTAATAATCTACTAATAGCAGTAATATCATGGATACACTAGATGTACAACGACATCTGAAAAAGATTCACCCCAGTCTAGAAAATAATGTTTATGCAGCTAATAGACTGCCTATGTATACCCACGTACCAACGTATATAATATGTAATTTGGATACAGATGATAAACCAGGGTCACATTGGGTAGCTTTATATATCGATACGAATGACGTCGGTCAATATTTTGATTCATATGGACGATCACCTGTACGATATCATCTAGAGTTTTTAAAAAGGAATTGTAAAAGATGGAACTGGAATGTTGATAGGATTCAGAATGAGTGGACTTCAGTTTGTGGCGAATATTGCTTAATGTATTTACTATATAAGTTTCAAGGATGTTCAATACATAGTTTTACGAGTATATTTACAAGGAACACATTGTACAACGATATTTTAGTGAATGAGATGTTTCGCTCCTATTTTATAGATAATAATTAATAAGATTTTGTATTTTATAAATAAAAATTGTAACAAAATTATGTAATGTGTTTTATTGATGATTCAGATTAGCGTTGTATAAACAAAGAATTATAATACAATAGCACTGATATAGTCGACGCACACGCTGCAATGAAGGTGATTAAGGAACAATAGAACAATAGAAATAGGAACAACAATGGGACGCTAATGACGGTGGAGGCCCTTACCGGATATCAATTAGATATTAGCTAATTGATCTACACATCTCCGGAACCGTGCATTCTACACAAAAATGGACCGCGGATTCGTGATCAGAGCATGCCAAAACCTTTTTTTTTTTTTTTTTTTTTTTTTTTTTTTTTTTTTTTTTTTTAGGATCGGGCGTCGACGAACGTCGTTGAACCACGTCTGACTCAGGTGGTCTAGAAGTGGTACAACTACACTACTCTTATTCGAGACAAACGTAGCGACCATTTTCTTTGACACGCTGCAGGAGCGAACCACTTTCGTAGGTTTGACCTCGTCTTCGAAAACCCAAACTGCTGACTGATGTTTTATTTCAGGTTCTTATGAATAAATCCATAATTCGTCAACTAAGACGATATTATAAACGGCATTTGACTTCCCTCCGTTGAAGCGTTGCAGAGTATTCCGCAACCAATCTACCGCCGCCTTTTGAGCCGCCTTTTGCTCTTCGGGCAAATAGTGGGGAACCCAGCGCGAAACTAGCTTTCTTACACACAGCTCCTTATGTTATATCGACTGAATTACAGTCATTCCGATACTCATAACAGCCCGAATCTGCTCGTATGTCACATGACGGTTATCTAATATAATAGTTCGCACAGCTGAGATGTTTTTGGGCGTGACCGCTGTTCGTGATTGACCTGCAGAAGAAACAGTCCTGAGCGACACACGACCGCGTCGGAACTCGGCATACCAGCGGTATATTGTCGTTTGACTTGGTACTTCAACATCAAAAATCGAAACAAGTTCGCTGAGACATTTATCTTGAGATAAGCCGCGACGAAAATTGTGATAAATTATGGCACGGAAATGTTCACGCGTGAGCTCCATTTCTGTTAACGACGTGTAAACTTTAAACCAACTTGGTTTTTGTTTTTAAACATTTTTTTTATTGTTTGAATGTTATTAAGATTCTAAGAGGCCAGTATTCAAATTCTAAAAAAGGTTTTATTGTAAATCAATCCGAAATATTCTATTGCCGATCATTTCAGTGTGCCCCTCGTAATTATCTACGGGAGTTGATTATTGAATATAAGTTTTTCAAAAATGCATATACGTGGCACGGATGCTGTTCTGAAACCGATTAACCCTATTATTTCAATCAAATTGATAGAAAACTTTTAGCAGCAATGGAGATTAAATGGAACTTTATTGTTTATTGGATGCAAATTTTAATATAGATCTTTATTTTAACTGAAACTAGGTTAGTTTCACGGCTGTCAGACTAAAAAATTAATATGTTGAAACAAATTTATAAGAAAAAATCTATACATTGTTGGGAATGAGTGTAAAAATAAAGAAAATACGAATAAATGAAGGCAAACTGGTGATATCCCACTTGTTTTAGCAGTATAAAGTATCGCACAGGCGACTAAGAGGCATCAGTCTGTAATTTTAAGACACCCACTGTCGTTACTAGGCTGGTAGGAGTATTCTACTAGCGTAGGCAAGGAAGTTCGTGTTGCTGAGAGGCTACCCTGTGTTACATCGAGATGGGTAGTGATGCTGTTGGTTTGCATACTTTAGCGTTACCTTGTAATTGGGGTCCTGATAGTAAGCAGGGTTTGTAACCGAGTAGTGTTCTTTTATTTAAATACTTTTGAGAATAATTTCTAAAATCAGAAGTGGAATAATTTCTTACATCAGAATTGGGGTAGTCCCTGTTATCTTGATGCCCCTAGCCCCTCTGCAAGACATCACAATATCTTGAACTGAACAAATCCAAATTGAATATACAATCATTAACTTTTTCACAATTTACAGTCATTTGGCTATTTTTTAACCAATTTATAACTTTTCTACGCAATGTCTTTCGATTGAAAACGTTCGAGCTCCTTTAACTATAAATATAAAGGTAACAAACATGTATCTACATTATATTGGACCTTAACCATTATTTTTCCCATGACACTCACCCTCTCCCCGATGTAATTATCTAAGAACTAAATCAATATATTCCAAACTACAATGAGAAATTTATTTTATATAACAATCTTCACTAATGCATGAAACTGAGCTGACCTGTGTCAATCTCCATAGGTACAACAATGTCATTAATTAAAATATTTAACAAATAATATAGTTTTAAACCCTCTAACTGTAATGTCTTTTTACAATTATTATTAATTAATCGAACCTTTTCATTTTCGTCGCTGTCCCCTGTTCTTTCCGCTAACTCAATTTGTTGGACATAGTTATGTTCTGAGGATCTGATTTGCAGACAAACCTTCTTTAAATGATCCTGCCTTTTGCAAATTCTATACAATTAAACTTGGAATTCGCATCGCGAAACCTCATGCGATTTGCCTCATGCAGTGCACTGCTGCCCGGAC